CCAAATTTGTTTTACTATCCACTTAGCAATGCCCAGAAATAAGCAATGCATTGAATTGACTGTAATAAATCTAATAGGGTCGAAATATGATAGACGCAACAATTCAGACCATCTAACGCCAGTTTCTTTGACGAAGCACTTTCTAGCAGCGTCTGAGTTGCATCTTCGCCAACCTAATGCGTTTTGCCAGTGCTCATTCGAATCTTGAGCAGAATACCCTACATTATCCATTCCAGCAACATTATGCTGCACATTTTCATAATTTGCTTTTTTCTCACACCTGTAACATGAAACTAAGGCAGAAACATGACCGCAAATTTTTCTTGTGACAGGAATGTCACATGATACTAAGATTAAAGCACCACGAACTCTCTTTCCATTTTCGCATTCATAAGTACGATTTAGTGTTAACCCAGCCCAGAGTGTTTCCAATTCGTTAACTATTGGTGCTAAATAGTGGTTTACTTTATGTAAGCTGACCTTCTTTGGCCCAGGTAAAATGCCAAGAGTCAATAAATTTTCACGTTTAAATCGGATATCGCATGGCAAATTGCATATAGCAGCGTATATGATACCGATATTATAAATAGTACTATCATATGGCTGAAACCAATCAAGATTCAGCATCAAGCCAAGATGAGAATCGGCCACTTCGCTTCTGAAAAAATTTGGCGAATCTTCATTGTCCTATTCTTTAAAATTCTTCCACACTTACCCATCATATATATCGGTCAAAATATTATCAAAATTCGACCGATTAGTCCAATGTCAGAAAGAATTTTTAAACCCAGGCCGACAAAATATAGTGGCAAATTGTTGATTGATTCCAGCAAACAGATACATTAAATTAGGTCATATTATTGTTCGATTTGTCGATACGCTAATTTTTTCAGACAATGCCATATTGCAAAGACGTGATCTATGAACTGAAGAATTGGGAAATTCTATGTGTTGACATTTTATTATAGCAGGATTGTCCTCTTGTTTGAAATCTACCACTTCCTCTTTTTTATACAATTTGTAACATTTCGGATAAGGTACAAAACTATGAAATTGGTCGTTTAATCCAAGCTTCTTTCTTGTTAAGTAAAGCGAATCTGGAAAATCATTAAAATCGTCACTACTGAACTCGTACAGGGCCAATTTCATAAATTTTATTAGAGTCTCAGTAGCTGTCTCTGCGATATTGAATCTTATTCGAAAGTTCATTATCCAAAGTAACATCCATAAAAATCGATTATAATTCGATTCTGAATATAGTGGGTTTTGAAATGGTTCATAACTAGGTGGTGAATAGTCTTCAAAAATTCCAGAAATTCCAAAATTGGATCATTATCTGATTCACTGCCTATAGACAATGTATCACTGTAGATATCTTCCTCTGTAGTATATTTGGATGATGATGAATCTTCTGGATCTTCTGAAATTTCCGGATGATTTGTATACTTTCTTGCACGTTATCGAGATAAGAAGTTAAATTCGATATCTTGATATTCATCATCAACATCATCTTGATTACTGTTATCTGATTCTTCCGATTCTTGTCTAATAGATTCATCAATCATTTGTTCAGCTGAAGTGGGTGTTGATGTTTCACCT